GGACGGCCTCGCCCCCCCCCCCAGTCCTCCCGCGAAAGTCTGGGGCCCCACACAGCCCCCCCCCACGGAGGCCTGGGGGCTGCGTAGGGCTCCAAAATAGTTAGGGCAGCCCTGGCTCCCCAGGCCAGAAGGGGGCGCAAGTTGGAAGTTTCGCCTAGGGCGCGAAATATCCTTGCACCTGCCCTGTCCAGGAAAGGACTGTGTTCCATCGGGACAGCTTGTGCCAAAAGAGAAATAACTGGCACAAAGTATGCTGTAGTCATTAACTTTTGAATAATCTCTGTTGAACTTCTTTCAGAAACAGATTCTCAAGGCACATTCTCTAGTTAGAAAACAAAAAACAAAACAAAGCCTCCAAAAGGCTTTCAGTTTAAGAATCCTCTTCCTTGGGGGAAAATAGTAAATCTGGCATTAAGGAGACTGATGTCAGAAGTATACTGAAGCCCAAACAGGGGAACCTGATAACAGATAAGCAATTGCTGCATAGGGACCTACCTGCCAAGCATGAATAGATGTAGTTGTAACTGCTTAAGGTGCTCTGTCTGCCTTTAGTGGCTGGACCTCATAGAGGTTTGAGTCTGTACAGTCTTTGAGCTAGCAGACCGGAGCTCCTGTTGTTAGGTCAATAGGTCCTGGGTTAAAACCCTAAAGATCACATGTTACATAATTATATATTTACTGGCAGTTGTGAAATTCATTCACAAGATGTCTCTCTGTGCTACAGAGATTTCCAGATGAAGTATGCTTCCTGGTAAGCAAGGGAAATAAAGGTGGAACTCAAGCTACGTGGTAGCCTGTCTGTGTATAAGAAATCCAACACTCAATATAACGTGACTAGGGGAACCTTTAGTTACAGCTGCTGCTGTATTTTAAGCAGTTGGTCAGTCCGCTTTTCTTGTTTTCAACAATCAACAAGATTTTCTTCCTTTTTTTTTTCTAGAATCTAAAGCATCTTAACCCATCTACTGGATCATTCCTTGGCAAACCTGATTCAGCATTAGGCGCAGTGACCTGGCGTGGCCTGAAAGTAACATCAATAAAAGGGAAGTGTGATCCAACCTAGACTCTGTAGCTGGAAGATAGGAAGTAAAACAGTGACACCAGATTCAGACATGTAAGGGATAGACCTAATGTCATCTGTCTCAGTCCCACTGGACAGCAACTATCCACCTGCTTCTTTCCTCCTATCTAGCTGATCAGGTTCTTCTTCACAGGGCCGGCTCCAGGCACCAGCTTCTCAAGCAGGTGCTTGGGGCGGCACGTCCAGGTATTTGGCGGCAATTCGGCGGACAGTCCCTCACTCCGCCTGGGAGTGAAGGACCTCCCGCCGAATTGCCGCCGCAGATCGCGATCACGGCTTTTTTTAGATCGCGATCTCGGCTTTTTTGTTTTGTTTTGTTTTGTTTTGGCTGCTTGGGGTGGCCAAAACCCTGGAGCCGGCCCTGCTTCTTCAGCAGTGAATGACTGATGGATCTGGATCATCTGTCCAGGGAATTCATTCACAAGACTTGTTGCTTCCCTTCCTTACATTCCTTCTCTTGCTGTTGATCTTCAACATGGCTCCAGCCACACTGCATTTACCTGGCACTACTGGTGAAAGAGCTATAGGATTTCAAGACAGGCTGTTAACCAGACAGAGCAGTAGTGGCAATGCTAATGAATAAAAACTAATAGCTTAAGGATTAAAAAAGCCAGAATAAATTATTTTTAAAGGTTGAAAATGAGGAGAGGAAAAGAGGAGTTAAAATAAAATCCAAAAATAGGAATACTGGCATTCCTCATTGCTCCTTTTCCATTCCATTTTCACCCATCATACCTCTTGTGTTTTCTGAAGTAACAAATTCCAGCTAGTGCCCCAGCTAACTCCCTGCTCGATTGCCAGAATGTTTGGACTAGTCCTCACAATGCCCTCCCTGAACTTTTACATGACATTGGACTAGCTCTCTCTACTCTGCATTTGATAACTTATTTATACAGAATAACCAAATGCTTTTGCACAGGGCAGCAATTATCCTCCACTTAGAGAGAACATCCTACTTCTCAATGTTACATCAGATGGCACACTCTGACCTGCCTAATGGGTGTGCTTGTGTGACTTCAACAGATGTATTTTCTTCCCTTTTTTAAAAATAAAATTTACCTTTTATAAGAATAGAATTGGATTTTTGTGTCTTAAGAGGTTAGTGCACAGGTTGTTTAATTAGCTGGTGGCAACAGCTGATTTCCTTTTTTTTTCTTTCTCAGCTCTTCCCCGGAGTGGCGGCGGGGGGGGGGGTGTGTGAAAGGACTTGAGGAAGGAATTCCCAAGTGCACCTGGGCTCTCAAAGGGATTCTGCACTTGGGTGGTGGCAGTATCTACCAATCCAAGGTCAGAGAAAAGCTGTGACCTTGGGAGTTTAATACAAGCCTGGAGTGGCCAGTATTAGTTTTTAGAATCTTTGTGGGCCCCCACCTTCTGCACTCGAAGTGCCAGAGTGGGGAATCAGCCTTGACACCATGTCATGTTCTTATATAAGGGCAGCACGCACCATCACTACAAGCTGAGATCAAGCATTCATTCCAATACCCTTTTTTTTTCAATTGTCTTAACTTTTTCACACATTCCATATGATCTTAAAGTTTCTAGTGTTGGTCTCAGCCCAATCTTTGTTTCTTCTTCGTTCAAACAATCACTTTGGTCATTCTTGAGTTGTACAAATGAGAAAAATACACTTCTGCTCATAATTTATTATCAGAAATTTTGTGCTGGGGCTAACTCAGACAGCTGAAGCTAGAAACCATGGATGTGGCTTGTTTTGTAAGCCTAGCTGAGTCTTAAAAATCTAAGCAACGCTGGAAGAAAAATTGACTTCATCTAAAGTTATGGCTATTTAAAGTTGACCACCTCATGCATCATCAACATTAGGATTTTTCTGACTTTAATGCATTTTGGGATTTTTTTTAAGGTTATCCTGGTTTGGCATGTTCCAGACTGGTCACTTTAATTTGGTTAAGGATGGGTGGGTTTAGCAGGGGCTTGGTTAAAGAAAACCAGCATATCCTAAACTTTTCTCTCTAAAGAGGTCAAGTTAAAGAAAAAGGTCAAGCTCTGGAGAAACTGAACAGCTCAAAATGTTTTATCTGAAGATATCTGTAGTGCTTTTTTGTTGTTCTTGCTTTGGGTTTTGTGCATGTGTGTGCACATGGTGGCCCTAATCCATCAAAATTCTTAAGCATGTACTTAATTTTAAGCGTGCAAATAATCCCACTGAACCTATAGCAATAATCACAGGCCAACGGCAGCTGTCACCCATGACAGGCATGGCTTCCTGTTCCTATAGAAACAGTAGCCCTTTGTAGTCTATTGAGAGGATGTTAGAGAGACAAGGTGGGTGAGGTAATATCTTTTATTGAATCACCTTCTGTTGGTGAAAGAGACAAGCTTTTGAGCATATACACAGCTCTTCTTCAGGTCCTGAAGATCTTTGTATATGCTTGAAAGCTTCTCTCTCCACCCGACCTACAGAAGTTGGTCCCATAAAAGGTATTACCTCACCCACCTTGTCTCTCTAATATCCTGGCCCAACATGGTTATAACAACATAATAGGTATCACTAATGCATCTGCTAGCACTGTGTACGCTTTCTAATCCATTACCCTGCAGCTGGGCTCCTCTGACTCCGTGGACAGTTCTCATGCATTATTGCGGGAATTAAGTGGCTGAGCTGACCCTCTGTTTACTGTCATTCCTATGCATGTTTCACTATGAATGAATATTGCAGCTGCTACTTCTCTTCTGTCATTTCTAAGACATCTAAATCTCCTGAGGATATAAGGTTTAAGCCTTGTATCCCATCTAGAGCACTGTTAAAACCTTCCTGTGAGGCATTAGGCTATTCTAGTCCATTAGCTTTTGTTCTAGCATCAGTCATGTTCCACGTTATTTAACTTTTTGTAAGACATGCTGGGTTACAGTTTTATGTAAATGCTATATGCATAGTTATTAAGGCAACAGGGAACATTTAGCAGCTGAGTTTCTTGAGACTAAAGTAACTTTCAGATTCAAAGTTCAAATCCATTCCTGTGAGGAAAGACAGATTTCTTCAATTTCCCAGAACTGCAACTGTTTCAATACCCCAGTGTGATACAAGCATTTGTATGTATATTAATGTGTATTCATCTATGTGTTTGTAAGGACATTAGAGATAGTTGCTGACAGTTACTGTTGTGCTAGGGACTTTGTTATTGCTACTTAATGCTTCTCTTATCTGAAGCTACCTCTCTTACTAATGCATTGACTCTATTATTTATCATTGTGTTCTAACTATGCTGAAAAAAGACCAAATAAAGCTATTTTGAAAATTAAAGGCTCCGTGCATTTGTTCTCTGAGTAGACTGCACATCACTTTATACTGTGATTCCATTTCCTCCATCTGAGCAAAGCAGAATCAAGCCAAGCAAGTTGGTACCTGGCCGAGAGACACCCAAAGCTGCTGCAGGGAGTTGTGTTAATGACTCAGTAGGTGGTACTTTTCCACAAGTTAGCACATTGCTAAATGACCCAAAGCCCCAGCATGGTTTTAAGGTGTTGCTGGAGGTACAGTCCTTTGGATGACTTGTAAAACTAGTGGTTATTTGTACAGCCATAATGGCTACTGACTTTCATTTAAAAAGAGATTAAGTTTAGATTCTGGCACCCGCCACATAAATATGCTGATATACCAAACTGCTGTGAGCTGACCCCCATTCAATTCCTAGTTCAAAAGGATAGAAGGCAGTTTTGGGAGAGGGAAAAATCCAACTCTGAGAAGATGTTTCCGTGATGATGAAAATTCAGATATAGGGTAGAATACTGTCATTTTTCCTTTAAAAAACTATGTGGAGATGGTGGGATTTTGTCCTGGGCCCTATCTGAAAATATTAATGAAGGGGGGAAATTGTTTCCTTGTCTGAGCCCTGTGCTGACAGAGTATGGAGAGTTAGTAGAGAGGGACAGAGGGTGACTCCTGGAGAATTCTGAGCTTACAGCACCCCAACCCACTTACTGACCTTTCAAAAAACTCCCACAGCTGTTAATGGCTTCAGCAAAATGTCCCTATGGTGCTGACAGCTAGTTAGCTTAGGGCATGACCTCAAAGAAATGTTAATTCACTGTGTGGGGGTAACAAAGGTATATAAATAGGTTAGCAGACACAAGCCCATTCACTTGTGTTGATAAAAATCAAGAATAGATTGTAATTGTATTTACCTACATTCTGTTAATTTGGTTACCCTGATATACATTTAACCTGTAGTTGCTAAATCCTTTTCATGTCTTGTAACTCCATATTACTTTTGCATTATGTATTCAACTATACTCAATTGTCATTACATCAAAAGGCCTGCATTTAGATGAAGTTTACTAGAAGGACAATGAGGAGTCTGGTGGCACCTTAAAGACAGATTTATTTGGGCATAAGCTTTCGTGGGTAAAAAAACCCCACTTCTTCAGATGCATCTGAAGAAGTGGGGTATTTTACTCATGAAAGCATATGCCCAAATAAATCTGTTCGTCTTTAAGGTGCCACCAGACTCCTTGTTGTTTTTGTGGATACAGACTAACACGGCTACCCCCTGATACTTAAAAGGATAATAGTATCGTCTTAGGCCTTGTCTACACTACAGAGTTTTGTCACCACAAATTATGCTGACATACAGCTACCACTTTAATTAAGCCGCTGTTGCATGTCCAAACTATGCTCCTTGTATCAGCAGAGCACATCCACACTAGCAGCTCTTGCATAAACATAGGGAGCAGTGCACTGTGGGTAGCTATCCCACTGTGCAACTGGCTGCAGGGTGCTTTGGGAAGGGTTTGCGATGCCTCATGGGGCAGGCACAGCATCACATGATGCAGGTTTGTCAATTTCATCATTCCATGGGCATCCTACTAGATTGCCAGCTGCTTTTTAATGGAAGTGAGGGGGGTGTAAGGGGAGTAGTGTGTGTGACAGGGAGTGTGGGGGGGGGAGGGAGACAGTGTGTGTGAGAGAGAGTGTGTGTTTGAAGAAAGTGAGTGTGTCAACATGCTGTCTCTTTAGAATTGCCAACCCTCCTGGTTTTGCTGGGAGTCTCCCAGAATCAGGCTCTATCTCCCAGAGGCTACTGAAGCCAACCCAGGAGATTTTAGGTGCTGAAAGTCCGGCATGCAGCAGGGCTAAAGCAGGCTCCCTGCCTGCCCTTGCGCTCCTCCCAGAAGCAACTGCCACATCCCTGCGGCCCCTGGGTGGGTGGGGGTGGCAGGGGTCTCCGCGCACTGCCCTCACCCCGAGCACCGATTCCACAGCTCCCATTCGCCGGGAACT